TTATACTACTTGTCCAGTATCAGAAGATAAAAACACACCCAATGCTTAGCGTAGTGTGAGTTACCATATCTTTCACCCAAGAAGCTGACATTATTGAAGACCTTTAAAAAGAGAGTATCCCCAAAATTAAAATGGCTATTTGAGGGTCTGTAGGGAAGCCTTTCTAAGTATTGATCTGGAACTCTATGACGTGTGTGGTGCCTGTCATTCCTTTTAAATCTGCAAGCAGAGATGTCCCTACCTCTGTATTTTTGAATCAGTGGTCAAGACAAGGAAATATGTCTCTCCATGCACATGCTTTTTATATCGACCTCTGACATAAGCCACAAGATGATCTCAAATGATTTGAAACTTAACAAGAAAATCTTTGGGGAAAAAATGTAATATTGTCTCAGCAAGAGTCCAAATTCCTTCCTGACATGCTGTCAACAGCCTGAAAGATTGTCCAGTTAATTATGATAAATTTGTCTGATTTCTTTCTCTTTGTGAGATAAGAGTCAAACCACTAAATGGTGAGCTGTCTCAGAAAAATGGAGATAGAAAGTTTACTTCCCATGTACTGTGGCAGGGATTATTTGTGCTGTGTATAGAAGAAGAAGTTTAGACATAAAACACATATTACTCAGCCCAAAGTTTACCAGTGATTACTGTGATCCTTCTTATCATCACTATCATCACCACTATGTCGTCACTGTCATCTCTAATCAAGCGTCTGCGATGTACCAGGTACATATTAAAATATGGAGGTGGAACCATATTCATTCATGGAATTTCACAATCTCTAGAGAAATACTCAGCCATCAAAAATTCATGACAGAAGCTGGAAAGGTGGCTCAGTAATTAAAAGCCCTTGCTACACAACTATGAGGATCTGAGTTCAGATCCAACACCCACTTAACATGAGTGTGGTCACGAGGCATGCCTACAAACTCCAGCACCATAGGGAGTGGAGACAGGATTCCTGGGACTTGCTGGCTGCCATCCTAGCAGGATAAACAGATAAACTAGAACTCTAGGTTCAGACAGAGACCCTGTCTCAAAGGACTAAGGTGGAGGGTGATAGAGGAGGACACCTGTTGCTCTTCTCTAGCCTCTGTGCACGCATACAGGTGTGTATGCACATGTGTGCATACATGTATGTGCATATAGCACACACAAAATTCATGATATAGTTCCTTGTAAAGGAAAAGATTTTGTTTCCTCTCATAGGCTGTTAAGGAAAAATTGCTTGTCGGATTTTCTATGTAATAAGCCACTAAGAAATCTTATTACAAATATGCAACCCAAAACTTAATATACACAGGAAAACACTAAATAGAACATTAAAAAAGTTAATCCAAGCATAAGTTGAAGAATAGAGACACTGTGGAAGAGAACAGGGCCTCTGCCGCACTGCTAACCAAACCAAGCCCCTGACCTGATGTAAGGCTGAGTTTGCACTTTCTTCATTTCACCAGCAGATGTTGCTCTGAGGTAGAGGAAGCCCGTACAGACATGGCCATCTGTGTGCTGAACTCTGAAAACACCTACCACAATGCGAAGGAATCCTAATGCTCATCTATTTGTTGTAGTTTTGTTTGATTGAATATTTATGTTTTCATACACTAGGTACACGTTTGAAGACACATGTTTTAAGAATCTATTTTATTACAACAATGATTTTATATTTCAGAAAGCACTTTATATTAATATTTGTATAACAATCCCTCATTGAGGTAGAAAAATTTTGTAATATAATTTAAGACATATAAAGATTATTGATAGCATTTGTTGACAATGTCTGGCAATTAGTAAGCTAGTACTTGATGATGCCGAGATTTAAACACTGGAGCAAACTTTCTTCTATAGTTGAAACTGATTGAGCCAAATGCAAGGATCAGCAATCTGATACCTTTATATTCATGGAATTCATTCATGGTTAATATAAAGAAATATACATAATTACGTTAACCAATTTTTTTAACCTTAGGAATACTGCTTTTTAACTGGCTAAAAGACAATACTGGAAACATTTTGGCTCTAGTAGACTTTTCAAAAAACTTTCTAATATAAGATTAGAGAAGAAGTGAAATAAAAATCAATTACAATTTTTTTGTTTGTAAATCTAGTTCTTTGTTAAGATGAAGTCAATTAAGGACCAAATTATAAATTTCAAGCTCTAAAATACTATACTTAATAATCAAATGCTTTTAATATATTAAAGGAATTAATACTTAAAAGCCAAATGTTATTGTAATAGATAAGGAAAACATATCAACTGTGTTTTGTTCATCTTTGCATGTTGCTCTACTAATCATACATAAATATGTACAGGAGGGACCAACTGTCCCCAGTTTTCCCAGGAATGCAGGAATCCCTGGGAGATGGGAACTTTGCTAAAGCTGGAACAGTCCCAGGAAAACCAGGAAGCTTGCTCGTCCTACTCTATACAAGTAATAATAATAACAACAACAACAATAATAATGTGTGGCATTATATGTCAGTGCACAAACATTCCCATCCTAATAATATGAGTCATCTTGAAAAATGACTCTACTGCACCATCATGACAATGCTCTCAAGAACTACATTGTGAATAAAAACATGTACCAATACGCTAAACCAAGCTAGCAAACTGATATTTCTTTTTGGATATTTTGTCTCAGTTCTATACACTGTATACTTCTTCCTCTTACTGATATACATTGTTTTAGCTACTTCTTTGTAGCTGTGATAAATTATGACCAAAAGAAACTTAAGGAAGAAAGTACTTATTTTGGCTTATGGTTCCAGAGGGATAGAGTCCATCTTAGCAGGGAAGGCATGGCATGGCATTCATTGCATGGCAAAGTGGCAGGAGCAGAAGCTGGCTGGTCATATTTTCATTCACATACAGAAAGCAGAGAGAACAAGAAATGGGGAGAGGCTATAAACCCTCAAAAACCCTCCATGCTTCCAACAAGGCTCCACCTCCTAAAGGTTCCATAACCTCCCCCAAACAGCACTACCAACTGGGGACCAAGTATTCAAATATGTGAGCCTACGGGGGACATTTCTCATTCAAACCACCACACCCACATATCCTAAACTCATTAAGTACTGTTACTTAATTTTTTTAAAGCCAAATATTTAGCTTCCTGGGAATTTATAAAGCTTTTTTCCTGGGTATATACTAAGTGTTTTGGAGAGAATAAAGTGTATTGTATTTTAAAATAAAAAATATTGGATCAAGATTAGAGTGCAACAAATAATAATGGGTTAAAGAAGATAGATGTATTATTTTCCTTTCATGTCAAAGAAGTCCAGGAGCCAGCAGCCCAAGACAGGCCTGGCAGCTTCACAATCATCAGAAACCCAGACTGCTATATTGTTGCTCAAAATCTCACACTGTAATATGTTGCTGAAATCCCAGCCATCATTACACACTCTAATCAAGCAAAAAGAGAAAGGAAATCACATGCATCATACACGATCATTCAATATTGGTCATAAGGCCACATCTGGTTTCAAGTAATACTAAAAATACCTATTGTACTCTCAGTGGGCATGTATGATGCTAAAACTAGAATTCTGTTCTTTAGGAAAAAAGGTAAAACTGAGATCAAGAAGCAATCAGAAATACCTGAAATAAATACCTTTCCAGACTCACTGTCATAGCAGATGAAATTTCTACCTTTACTACTCAATGACTGCTTTACTTTCTTGTTTGCTCTTTCATGCTTTTTGTTTTATCAGTATGCTTTCTTACACTTGATATTGTCAGTATATGAGTTGGTGATTATCCTGACTCCCATCTTCTAGGATATCTAAACAGACCTAATTTGTGCAGAAACATGTCAAGAAAGTAAAAACATGCCTAACTCTCTGCCTAAGTTTGGGTCTAGTGTTTCTTCCAGATGAGAACTCAGTCACACAAGCAATAGTTAAACAGATAGGGCCAAAGTGTAATCTTCAAGAGTGGAAGACTGGAATATCTGTCAGCTGATAACTGATCATTGTATTATAGACTCATCAACCTGACTGTACATTTCAAGAATGAGATGAAGCTGTACTTGTATCGTGAACATCCTAAAAAATTATTACATTCATGGAACTTCTGAAAGACACTAGGTCCAGTCCCTTCCTTTTACTGAGAAGATCCAGAGACTGTATAAGGACACTCAGCTAGTAACAGATTTACTCCTGGCCCTCTTTGCCACCTCTCATGAGCAGGAAATGCCCTGTTGGTCCTCCAGCCTTTATCTTTAGGATACATCCTCACTGTGGTTCTACAGTATTTCTGCAGCAATTCTGTAAAGCTCTTCTAGCAATCCTTGCATGGAGTCCTCAGGAAAGAGCTGGATTGATGTGGGTTTTACCCAGACTCGTGAATGTAAAAGGACTTAGGTGGCCTCTCCCTTGCAAGGAAGAGAATGGATGGGCTTTATTTCCTTTCCAGATTCTCAGTGCTCTCCTCTGATAGTCCTAGCATGCTTGTCTAACCTGTGGTCCATAGGCTGCATACATCCCAGACAAATGTGGCCCAACACAAAATTCTAACCTACATACAGCATTATGAGCTTTTTTGAGGTTTTTGCAATTTTTTGTAATTTGTTTATGTGGCTATTGAATGTGAACTTTGTGATGACGACTTCATGCTGCAATGTCAAAAGTCTGGATATGCCTGTAACTGTTCCTTGTACACTTAACATCTACCTGGAAAACTCAGACAATACATGTTTTTGTTTATACTACAAAAGGGCAGAAAGTTGTACAAGCTCATAGACTTATCAGATCATTTATTCCCTGCATTCTTCAGCTGTGAAAACTTAAAAACCAAGAAGATGAATTTACTTAGCTAAGATTCGATTTCTTAAGATTTATAGGAAGCCAAATCTTGTAACAGCTATACAGCTTGCCTATAACAGTATTAACTATTGCCTTTTTCAGAATGGTCTCTGAAAAGCAATTGCCTACTCTAGATGAAAAAGGGAAAGTGTGGATTTGCTTTAAAATGTCTCAAACTTACAACTAGAGAACACAAGTTTTATAAAACATTTTATTTACAGTAGTGCTTTACAAAAATAAAATTAATACAAACCCATTTCACAATATAATTTACACAACTATCTTCTCCCAAAAGGGACATTTGATTATAACACATAAACTACATTTGTATTTTTTAATAAGTCACATTGTGGTATAAATATGTTTTTTCTCATCATATTTTTCTAATAAGGTACATATCAATAAGAATGAACAATGGACAACAGATCTTGTTTTATTATTCTTCCAATATAAAATGCATCTCTGGCCAAAACAAAATTGACCAAAGATAAGTAACACAATCATCCTTCTGTTCAGAGCCCATCCTGTTTAATTATTTGAGGGTTTATCTGTCAGAGACGGGACATTAATCTGAAAGCACCACAGCATAAGGTCTAGTAACAATATCCCCCAAAGCCTTCTCCAATGTCTTCCCTTCAACTGTTTATTCAGTATTTTGCCAAGATAAATAAAGACGGAACTCAAGTCTCTCCTTCATTAGTCTCGAGTGTTCTTATTACACACTGAGGTTTTTAGACTTTCCCAGCTGGCATGTATGTGAGTCTCCTTTGGCTTCAAGCAGAGTTTCACAATACTTAGGAAACATACTGAGCTCCTCCGTGGAGCTGAATCTCGGTGACTCCCCACCCGACGACGTTTCCCCGGATGTGGCAAGACTCCTCTCCTCCACTCTCTCTTATCTCCTCCTTGCTCAGAACACGATCCCAAATATTGAAGCCTGTGATTCTTCCAGAAAACGCTAATGTTTCATCAAAACCCCCACCCACACAGCAGCCGTTCTTTTCCTGGCCAATCTGCAGGATTCCTCCCTCAGGAACGGTGTGACTTGTGGCCATCTGCACAGCAGTGGCCACCAGGTCCCCATTTACCCACAAGGACATGCTCCCCAGCTTTGAACTCCAGGTGGCGCACAGATGGGTCCACCTTCCCAGGGAAACCATAGTATCCGCTGCCAGCTTGCTCTCCTCTCCACCCACCACCAACACTAGGGCCTGAGAACTGAGGTACAGCTGCATCTCATAGGGATTCCTCTTTGTGCCATAGGAAAACAGGATGGTTTTGTTTAATATATCTGTGGCTTTGACCCAAATGCAAGTACTAAAAGATTCAAGCTTCATTGGTCTCACAGGATGCACGCTTCCAAAAATCTTTCTGGAACGCATGGGGAATAAAATCGCTGTTTCACAACCTAGGGTAGCAAACAAGCATATGAGAAAAAAAATTACAAATTAATTCAGAATTATTTTTGGCATTCGGTTATTTTAATATAAGCATGTTAACTATAATTGATAACTAGATACAGCAGTGCCTACGACTTAGGGAGCTTCACATTCGATCTCCATGGACAGAGAAAAGGAGAATAAGGACAGGTCAGTTGGCTTAGTCAATGAAGCATCTGAACAAAGAAGTATACAAACAAGTGCCAACTCACCCAACCCACAAAATAACAAAAACCATGTTGAGTACTTACCTCCCGTTCTTTCTTGTTTTTACTATTTTTTTAAATTGAAATGTGGAGTCACAAGGAGTTAACATCAGATGATCCTATTTTTTCTAACAATTTATAACCCACCCTCTTTCCCTCTTGTCTTCTCTTCACCAGGCTCCTAGAATAACAAACCGGTGAAATTCAATGGACCTAGCTCATTCTATGTAGTCATTATCAGCATGCCTAAGCAAAGTTTAGAATAGCAATATCACTGGGGGACACATTTTAATATACCATGTATTCTTGGATGTTGGTGAACTGTGCAAGGTTTGTAATAAACTATTGTTGTATTTTACTACAATAATAGTAATATGATTACTGGTTTTTGCAATAATGTTTTCATGTAGTACAGGCTGGCCTCAAATTGGTCATGCAGCTAAGGATGATCTTCAACTTCTGATCTTTCTGCCTCCACCTCCCTTAACCAACACATTATACTGCCTCTCAGTAGAACTCCTGAGTTCAGATTGTTTCACTACTAATGAGTATTATGAAGTTTTTGATGAAGTCTATACTCTCTCCAGCCTTTAGTGTTATCTATAAAAGACCCCTCTGGATTCTTCAAGTCTGTAAGCAACAAGTATGGCACTCAAAAACTGGGTAGACCAAGGATATGCTTAAAATTTACAAATATTAGTTAAACTGCTACAGAAAACCTTTAAAAATAGTGAATTGTTCCAAAGGATTTGGTTAGAGAATGTGTTTCTGCTAGGAAAATTTAGGAGGAGGAGACTTTTGAACGAGGGGCTTTTTGAACATGGGTACAAGGGACTCCTCTTTTCCACCTTTGCTCATCTCAGGGTCACACCAGAAGCAGAAGGTGCTGAAGACTTAGGAAATATTAATGTTAGAACCTTAAAGAGGTGGGCTTTACTTTATGATATAGCACTCTCAATAAAGAAGGAATTCATTAAAGACTAAATTCATGTGCGAAGTTCATTTCATAAGAGCCTAAAGAACATGTGCTCTAAGCTAGCTTTGACAAGCCAACTTTCTGAGAATTAAAGACTTTTAAAGTCTATGACGGGTGGGAGACTCCTGCAAGTGAGCTAGGATCTGTCCAGGAAACATTAAACCAATGTAGTTCTTTTAGTGATAATAGAGGAAAATATTGAAATTTAGAAAAACTGCACTATTCTTCCAATGCACAAAACTGGTACTGTCATTCTTGAAAACTTGAATTGTTTCATGGAAAAGAAGCAATTTTAAATGGAGCATTTTCAATAAATTTGCAAGCTGTAATTCTTTCTCTACATTCATTGATTCAAATAGAGATCATGGGGCAAAATACTGCCATATTGGGGCTGGAGAGATAGCTCAGCAGTTAAGAGCACTGGCTGTTCTTACAGAAGATCCTGGTTCAAATCCCAGCACCCACATAGTGGCTAACAATCATCTGTAATTCCAGTTCCAAGGGATTCGACGCCATTTTCTGACACCTGCAAGCATTGCATGACACAGGTACACTTATATGCAGGCAATACACTCATACACATAAAATAAAAATAAATTTTAATTTAAAAAAAGATTGTCATATCTGTGTGCATTTGAAATATCCCAGCCTCTGTAAGTTTCAGTAAAGTACTATTAAAGAGGGTGCCCACTGCAATCTAATTAACCACCTTCCTGTTTAAACAAGGTCAAGCAGGCAGGATTGCATTCCAAGGAGGTCTGTGACTGTGTCTGGGAGACCCGGCTTCCCTGTAGGCTATGGCAGCCACGTGAGTTCATACAGTGAGGTAGTTTTGTGGGCTTCTTTTGGAGAGCAGTGATTGAGGCTGTTGAAACTTCTTTGAAATGTCAGAAACGCTCTCATAAAATGACTTTTAACTAATAAGTCTCTGTAATTATATTATCAAAGACTAACAAAATTAAAACCAGGTTCTCAGGAGGCTGACCACAGTGTGATTAGGAACTCTCTAGGAGCCAAGTTGGCAGAAGGCCAAGAAAGGATGAATCAAAGCCTACAGGTAAATATTATTGGGTGTACTAAGAATTAGCATTTTAGAATTCAGAAATGTATCCCACTTCTAGCAAACATGAAGATGAAAATTCTTCCTTTTGGGGGTATATTATATGTACAATAACCTTAAACAGTTTGCAAAATAAGAAATTCAAGCATTAAAATAATCACAGAATTATCACATTAATGATTAGCTTTAGATTTGATTTTATGCTTTTTCTCTGAAGGCTACACAATGTTTAAGGAGAGAGACTCTGTACTGACAAGCAGTCCTCAAATATTTAGGAAAGGCTAGGATTTCAGCACAGATTCTGTAATTGAATGAAACATGCTCCTGAGGGTGCTTGTAAGAGTCATTTGCTTGGAAATAGGGGATAGAATGGCTTTGTTTGCTTCTGAGATTCTCTGAAAAATGCAAGCTCCATTTTCCTACATAGAGCACTAATTTTCTAAAACAATTCACAATAATACACCTCAGAAATTCTAACTTAAGAAGTGTGTTACTGGGCTCAAGTCTTCTGCTTCTTTAACTAACGTTAAAGCATATTCTTTCTGACCCTTAACCACTAAGACCTTTGTGGAGAATTGTGGGCCTTTGACGAGTCTTATACAGTCCGAGCAGTCTCTCTTTCGTGTGGCCCTGATTCTCTGAGTCCCTAGGGAAATAAAGAGGTCACCTACAGGCTCTGACTCCTGCACCTGATATTATGAGTTTGATTCCAAAGGAGAAGCCCCTTGACCTTCACTGTACAACTAACTACTCGCACAGACCCTGGGGGACCCTTGTGGAATTCTGCTGACTCTGCAGGAGATCCATCCTACTCCACAGCTCAGGACAGAGGAGGAGGAGCCGACATTGAGGGGCTGGGCCACCGCGCTAAAAGTTAGCCTAAGCCCTGAAATAGTGTGGGGGAGATCAGAGGTCTCCCAAAGAGGGAGCAGGATAAAGTTAGAAGACGTGGAAATCCCTAACGGACGGACGCTGGACAGCGGGAGAGATCACAGTTATAACACTTGCCAAGGGAGCTCCTGCAGTGTCTGGACGGATCTGGTGTCAGGGACCTCTGATGTCTATTTCCAGGTTGATGGTTAAATCCCCGCTTTCCTTTGAGCTCCTCCCGCTGACGAATACTTTTAAAAGGCAAAGTGCCTGCCTTGCATAAGCATGCCTGAGCTCTGGGCTCTAAGTGTGGGGGTTCCGGTTAAAGCCTGACGCTCATTCCGGGACAAAGCAGAAGCCACGGTGGTGTCGTCGTCTCGCCCCCTCCTCCCCGCCGCGCCCCCAAGTGTATTTCGTGCTTACCTGCAGGCAGCCAGTGCCGGGCGGCCCAGCTCTGCACCGCGCTCAGGTCTGCGCGTGTCCTTCGCAGTTCCTCCAGCACCGCGCCCAGGCCGCGCCCTGCAGCCTCTGGCCGCCGGGTCTCCGCATCCTCCAGGCGCGCCAGCCGGAGGCTCGCATCCCGGCTCTCCTGCAGCAGCTGCTCCAGCGCCCGCGCTAGCCTGGCTTCTGCGGGGCCCGGGGCGGCACAGGGCTTCACCAGGCCGCCCGCCAGCCGGCCCAGCTCCGCCTGCAGCCTCTGAAGCTCGCCCCGGAGGACGTCGTCGGTGGCCTGCAGCAGCATGCCCTCCCGCATCTGCGAGTTCTCCAGCATGATGAACAGCTTGTCCCACTCCGAGTGCTCCCGGCGGCAGTCGCACGGCGTGGCTAGGGCGCAAGATACACACAGATTACCAGGCCGTTCGTGGCTGTGCTCCTTTAGTGACCCCCAGTTGCATCCTTTGCCCAGCATCCCCTTCCTTCTAAGGATACCTCCAAAACTGCTCTAAACTTCTCACAAATGACACGGGAGCCATTCATTCCGTATAGGTTAAGCTGAACTCTGTGAAATAGCCATTTATGTAGTTAAAGACGGCCAAAGATCAGCGATTTCATATAGTAAAACTCACTGTGTATGTTACAAAAATAATTTAAACCATCTCGCTTTCCTCAGGCAGTACTCCCTCTTACCCAACAAAGTCTGATTCTGGCTTGTTTCATTGACTACAAAAAATATGTATATTGTTTGGATCCCCGAAAATGGGGTGTGTAGTTAGGGTGAAAGTTAAAATGAACTTACTTAAATGAAAGTTAAAATGAACTTACGGTCCTCGGTGGGATGCAGTCCATTGTCTATTTCGTTGTCGAGATTCACATACATGAGTTCATAGTCATCTGAGTTCTCAGCCAAAACTGCGGACCAGAGAGCACAGAGCAGAACCCCGGGGAGATACATCGCGGGACAGACTAAGTTCGCTCCGCAGCCGGCGGGAGGGAAGACGCAAGCTTCTCCAGTGAGCGGAGTTTGAGCCCGGGAGAGTAGAGTGAGGCAGGAGGCGAGCCCTTAATAAACGCCGCGAAAGCCTGAACCCGGACGAATGAGTAATGCCGGGTGGCACAGCACGGAGGGAGTTCCCCTGGATTTGGGGGAGGGGGCTGGGTGGGAGGGCGAGGGAGCCGTGGAGGTTGCGCAATATTAAACCTCGGAGGCTCACTGCAGGCAGATTAATTAGAGGAGGGTCAGAGGGGAAAGAGGAGGGAAACCGGGCTTGGCTGGTCCCTCTGAGGATTAGCTGCTATAGCTTGAATTGGTAGCACCGTTGGGGGATGGGGACACAGAGGTGTGGGCGAGAAGCATCATTTTGGTACTTTGTGTGAGTTTTCAGTAATTCACAATCCCTTAAATTATAGAAAACTTTTTTCTCCTTTTCTTTGGGGCACATTCTCAAATCCAAGCTGTAGAAAATGACAGAAAGAACTATGATTCTAAAAGTCAAGTCCCTTCTGACTTGTTCTTGCCCTCTGGAGTTGTAGCTGCTCTTTCATAAACACTTTTCAGTAACAAATCCATACAATTTGGTTAACCTATAATAAAAGGGGAAAGAACTGGGAGAAAAGAATAAATTTGTTTTCAATGTTGGGTTTTTTTTTCATAATCTAGCATTACGTGGATATTATATTATTCTAAAAGCCTCAGAGGCAAAGATTATGGTGTTTTTTTTGTTTTTTTTTGGTTAACCTATAGTAAAAGGGGAAAGAACTGGGAGAAAAGAATAAATTCGTTTTCAATGTTGGGTTTTTTTTTTCATAATCTAGCATTATGTGGATATTATATTATTCTAAAAGCCTCAGAAGCAAAGATTATGGTGTTTTTTTGTTTTTTGGGTTGTTTTTTGTCTTTTTGAGGCAGGGTCAGGGTCTCCCTGTAGTCCCAGCTGTCCTGGAGTTTGCTATGGAGATCATGCTGATCTTGATCTCACAAAGATCCACCTGCCTCTGCCTTCCAAGTGCTGGGATTAAAGGCATGCGCCACGATGCCCAGCAAGATTATGTTTTAAAATTAAATTAGTGACTCCTTCTGACACATATGAAGGTCCATGACAGCTGAAAACCCCCTCGTGCAAAATACCTTGATATCTGTTTACATTATAATAGTAGTAATACAAATGTAAAACATTAATACAAACCCTTTAAAAAGCAAGAAAAGTACCCAGTAGTAGTTTTCCCACAAAATGCTTGACTGCATTTTGGGTTTCAATAAACATGGCCTCACTTTCTGCCCTTGCACAAGAAAGTAGAAAGCATGTGTGACTTAACAAGCCTCCTAAGAGTTTGAGACTAGGTAAGCCCTTACATATTTGGAATGCACATGCATATATTATCTGTCACAGTAAAATCGAATTCAGGGTCAAACATACTAAACATTTGAAGGAACAATAGATCAGAGAGAGAATTAACAGAAACAAAAAATATTAAATCTAAAAACTAGTAAGCATGCTTGGAAGTACTTAAGGCCGAAAAGATGGAAATGGCCTCACTAGGATAGATGATAGATAGATAGATAGATAGATAGATAGATAGATAGATAGATAGAGATGGATATATATATATCCTATATATAGATATATATACATAAATGATATATCTGTTGTTAACTGATTATTCTAATGCTGGAGGAGGGATAATAATGGACACAGAAACAAACTGTATAATTTAACATTTGATATAGTAAAATAAATAAAGCATGGTACAAATAGTTGATAGACAATTTTTATCAGATATTCAAGGAACACATCACAAACACACGCACACACACACACACGTGCACTTTATATAAACTACTTCTGAGAAGAAAGGATATGGGAATGTGCCAAATTTTATCTGTCTAGTAAGTATGATACCAAAAAGAGACACAGACCATACATACATAAAGGAAAATCTCAGCTCGTGTTATTTAAAAACATCAACACCAAACTCCATACATATAGTTGTCAAGCAAAGCCAACATTATGTACATAAAATACTTCAAGACTTTGATGGTTAGTCTTGTGTATCAGCTGTATTGGACTGAGAAGTCCTCTGGTGTGTCTGTGAGGATATTTCTAGGAAAATGACAAAAGAGGGAAAGCCCTACCCTGAATCCTGAGTGTGGGTGGTCCATCCAGTAGGCTGAGGGCCAGATGGAACAAAAGGGAAAGAAGGAAAAAGCCTGCTGTAGAAGGCGCTCTCTCGCTTTCTCTCTGACACCATGAGGTGAACAGCTTTGCTTACCACCAAGTCACCTTTCCCACCTCAGCAGAGGCTCACAGCATGGAGTGAGCTAACCATAGATTAAGTCAAAATAAATCCCTCTTCCCCTAAGTTTTTCTTTTGGATACTTTGTCACAGCAGCAAAAATAACTAATACACCGACTAATGGAATTTATTCCAAGACTGCAAGATTGGTTACATATTAGACTATTAACTTCCTACACTGACAGTTTAGTGAAAAATCATGTGAAAAGTCAACAGATAAGAAAAGGAATTTAATAAAATTCAGCACTATTTCTAAAAATTAATAGAAAAGTGCAAACATCCCAATAGAAAATACACAAAGAAAATGAATGGCCAAATCACAGGAGAGGCGATAAACATTAAAAAAAAAGATACACACATAGAGACATATATAGACATGTGTATGTATATAAACACATTTATCTGCATGTATATGTATATGTGATAATCAGTCTCAAAAGCAATCAAGGAAATGGAAATTAAAACAAAACTTGAGATGCCATCTTCTACCCCATTCAGGTTAGCAAAAACCAACAAGAGCCAAGTTCTGTCAAGACCAAATGTTGTCAGGGATGAGAGCCATAGAAGCGTTCATGCCACTGATGGGAATATAACCTGGTATAGTCTTGGTGGTAGGCAGAATAGAGGACCCCAAAGATGTCCAAGTGCTAACTCTAGTAACCTGTTATACATTATTGCATTTCACATAAAAATAAAGATACTAGTTAAATAAGGAAACAATCCCAGATTATTTAGGTAGACTTGATGCAATCACAAGTATTCTTGAAAGTGAAAGATGGTGGACTGGTAGGAGTGTTCAGTGGGTAAAAGCTTTTGATATGCAAACCTGGACCTGAGTTCAATCCCTAGAACCCATAGTGGAGGGAGATACTCAGCTCAAGAAAGTTGTCCTCTGATCTCTACACATACACCATGGCACACACACACTCAGACACACACACCAGCACTCACATGCACACATACATATAAACAAAATATTTTATTTATTATTTTTATTTTATGTATATGAGTGTTTTGCCTGAATGCATGTAAGTGTACCTGTATGGGTATAGTGGAATGCCCAAAGAGGTCAGAAGAGGACATCGAATCCCCTGGAACTGGACTTATGGATGGTTCTTAGCTGCCATGCTGGTGCCAGGAATTGAACCCAGGTCCTCTGCAAGAGCAGTCAGTGCTTTTAACTGCTGAGCCATCTCTCCAGCCAATAAACAAAATATTTTAAAAGAAAGAAAGTGAGTGAGGCAGAAGGCAGCGTCAGATCAAGAACAGTGACGACAGAAGCAAGATCAGAGAAACATCATGTCACTATCTTTGAAGACTGTGGAAGGGGCTCCACACTAACAAACGCAAGTCAGTCTCCAGAAGCTGGAAAATCCAAGGAAATGATTCTCTCCAGGATCTCTGTAAGGACCCTAGCAGCCTTGCCTACACCTTGATTTTAGCCCAGTGATGCTCATGTCAGGCTTCTGGATTCTGAAGACAGAAGAAAACAAATCTGGTTATTTTAGGCCCTTTGTAATGATTTCTCAGGCAGCTATAGAAAATAATGTCTTTCTATCATAGAGAGAATTAGTGTACTGGTGCCCATGTGGACAACCAACCGGGAAGGGGCAGGGAAGAGGCAGGTTTGGAGGAAACTCCAACGTAATGTGAATGGAACAAAATATGTTACAACAGGACACATTATATGACCCTATTTCTATAAAATTGTAAAAGCAGGCAAAACGACTACAGAATATTTATTGGTACACATGTAATTAAGGCACAATGAGAACTTTGGGGTGATGGTTTTCTCTGAGGAGGGAAAATATGAACAGGACAGGAAACACTTGGAGCACAAAGTTCTGGCAAAACTGAATGACGGGTAAACCACTCTTCCTTTTTGTTTATTTACACTTGTATGCTGGCTAGAAATATTTCGTATTAAAAAGAATAAGGACAGGAGTGGTGGCTCACACCTTTAATCCCAGCACTCAGGAAGCAGAGGCAGGCAGATCTCTGTGAGTTTGAAGGCCGCCTCTTCTACACAGCTAGTCCAGGCCAACCAGGGCTACACAGTGAGACCCTGTCTCAGAAACAACAACAACAAAAAGAATATATTAACTTATGAGTGGGATTTTTACAGGACTTCTACACCCAGAGATCTTTATTAGTTTCTAACTCAAAAAAGTTCTTGTACATTTATTTTGGTATTTATTTTATTGAAATTGAAATCAGTCGAAAATGACTAATCTATGGATTTCCCTTTCAGAGCTCCCAGGGCCTCCAGTGAGTATTGTAGAAAAAATCCATATAACTGTTTTCTGTTCCAGAGTACAACTAGAGTCCCATTTAATATGACCTTTCTCATCAGATGGCCAATGTGTCCACATAGCTAAGTTCTACGACCCAATGTGTTTTGTACAAATTAGGTATTGAATTAAAATTTTCTGGTGCTTTAAGAAGAAGCTCTATGTAAAAATAAACAGAAACCAAACAAAATAGTTTAATATTAAATTGTTGAAAATTGATAATGTTGGAAACAATTTATTTTTTAGTTTTAGTTTTGAGACAAGGTCCTGCTATATAGCCCAGGGTTGTCTTGAACTCATTATGCAACCCAGAAGGGGCTCAGACTTGTAACAATGTTCCTGCCTCAGCTTCCCAAATGCTTAGATTACAGACAAGAATTGACAGTGCCTGGCTCACAAATTCTTTGAAAAAAAGTAGTATTTCTGCCAGGTGTAATGGTGTACACCTTAAATCCCAGCACTCAGGAGGCGGAGGCAGGTGGATCTTTGGGAGATCAAGCCCAACTTGGTCTATAGAGTGAGTTTCAGGCTAGCTGGTGCTACAGGGAGACTCTGTCTCAAACAGTAATTTCCAAGATCTTTTGTTGTATGGGCATATTACTGACACGCTTGAGAGTAATTCTGTGAAAAAGAAATTCTCACTATTTATTGTTACCCAAATGCATACAGTTTTGTCCCTTTAACAGAACGTAAAATTGATATTCTGGAACTCCTGGTCCTCTTAATGTTCACACTTAAATATATTTTATTTATGAGTTTATCTCTGCCACTTAATGAAGGTCTACATGTATGTAACAAAGTCAACTTTAGAATAAAAGTAAAGTAAACCACGAATTTTATTGGGATGGGGCGTAGCTCATCTATAGAGTGCCTGGCATGGGTGAGGCCCTGGGTTTGTTCCTGAGCACCACAAAATAAAATAAAATAAAATAAAATAAAGGTAAAAATGTAAACAGACTCAAGAAAATTTTTCAAGAAATCTCTAGAAGTCAAATCCCCTGAGACAGTTAAGTAAGTACTTGACAGGATTTTTGAGCGAGGAAAATCCACACCATCAAGTGATGAGCAGCTGTTTCCCATATGTTGTTTGCAGATAAGACCCTGCAGCTTATGTAATATTTTTTCTTTAGTTTTCAGTTGTCTATACAAGTCTTTGAGGCAAATCACATGCGACAAACAAGCTGAGTATACATTTCCCTTGAAATAGTAAAGAAATTGGAAATTTAAATCTGCGTTGTTACCTTTTAAAGTTTTCATAAAAATAAGGCACAGTTTCCACATGTCCGTTGTCCAAATCCTGCCTTCACGTCCCTCAGCAATGTGAGTGAACACATTTCTTTGCACATTTTTTGGCTCAGCTTCATTTGGTTTCATGCTTATGACACAGCTCACTTTTCTTTTAGGCATCATCCGAATGCTGTTTCTAGTCAGGAATTCTTTATCAGAACTGTTTCCTTCTCAAGGGTGTGGTCTGGTTACTGTCAAATGTGCCACTATCCCCTGTTGACCATTACTCAGGAAAATTTTTCATTAAATAAATGCTGAATGTATCATAAAATATTCCCCCTTTTAGAATCAGTTTAAGTTGTGCTTTAGTGCCTTCCTCTTCCCCACCCCACCCCCGAAATCAGATTCTGTTATTTTAAACAGAACATTTGCCTGTTAGTCTATACCAGTTATTATATAAGTGTAAAGGATATTTCTTTGACAATAATGTCTATTATTTGGGGTTAATAAAGTCCCTGTTGTTCCCCCAACAGGAAATGCTGTACTGTTGAGGGTGTTACCTGCTGTGTATGAAAAGCAGCCTCAACCAATTAACAGACACCTGACAGAACTCCTGGCCCTGCTGTCTCAATTGGAACAGACAGAACAGTACCATCTACTACGGCTTTTGCATGTAGCAGCAAAGAGAAAACAAGTGGAGGTAAAAACTGCACTATATATACCCTGTACACCATATATTACACGTACTGCGATGGTCTAGGTAGCCAGACATGTTTCTGGATAATGTAAGCAGGATTGTGTGCTTAGGGTTTCCTCATACATACATGTATAAGTATCTGTCTTAAAATGAAAGCACCCTTCTACATGGGAAGTTGAGTGTGTGTGTGTGTGTGTGTGTGTGTGTGTGTGTTGGTTCATATCATTATGAAGGCTAAGAACTAAGAAGAGTCATCTGTTATCTGTCCTAGAGATAGAAAATCCAGGGTTGTAGTTTCAGTTCAAGTCAAAAATCTTGAGAACTGGAAGGAAGATGGTGTAAATTCCAGACTGAAGACAGACCAGTGTTCTAGCTCAGAAAGTCAAGCAAAGTGGGATTCTCTTTTCCTTCCCATTTTTGCTTTATTTAAGCTCCTAACAAATTGTCTGATGCCTACCCACAGTGGAAGGAAAATATGTTTAACTTGATCTACCCATTCAGATGTTATTCTCATCCAGAAATATTCTCACAGACACACTCAGAAATGTTCAACCAAACATCTGTGATCCAGTAAAGTATATATATATATATATATAGTTAGTTGGTTAGTTAGTTAGTTAGTGATATTATTTACAGTTATTAAAAGCAACACATGTAAATCTGACCATTGTGGAATACCTTCAACGTAACTTAATGTAGATTATATGGTTTTAAGACTCAATATTTTCTCAAGAAGGGCCAAGATAAATATTTATACATGAGTTGGTTTGTGAGAAAATCAGCCCATGGTGAGAGCAAAGGGTTATTTTCTAGATAGCAAATCAGTTGTTTTCTTTGGATTCAAATTAAAAATACTGACAGTTAGAATGCTTGTGATTACCAGTGATAGAACAAACCACTGTGGCCTCAACAGTGAGAGAAATGTATAACATGATGTGAAAAGGAAGCAAAACTTCAAATGTGGCTTGATCCAAGGAATCAAATATTATGAACAATTCTCTCACTCTCTCTCTCTCTCTCAGTTTTGACTTCCATTCTTTGTATGCTTTTTCCTTGTCATCACTAGATGGTTGTTAGGACACTCTGAACACTGTTTCTCATACCTCCACCATCATCACCAACATCCAAGCAATGGTCTTATCATTTTGTGTGGACACATGCTTTACCCCCACAGTGTCTCCTGAATGCCAGATAAATATCCAGATAGAAACCAGAGGCTGCCAGGAGGCGCAGTGGACATCGATTTGGAGGGTAGTTGATTTTGTCCTTAAGGGAAATGATACAGTGAAATCCAGGGCCAGACCCTAAAAATTACTTTTTTTTCAGGTTTGAACCTGTTAACAGAGAGACAAAGGGCCTTCAGTGAGTGATGGCAGGTTGAGTGTCAGGGACACTGGGTAAAGCCTTTATAGAATGCCCCAGGTCAGAAGACCAGGAAGCTGGCTCATACATAAACTGTACCCAGAGATCTTGGTTCAGTAGATTGGGGATAGGGCACAGTTTGCTACTACTTTAGATATCACAAATTAAATACCAAGGCCAGAGTTTGGACGGGAATTTATATACTACTTGGTATACACTTTTGTTTTTGCGCTTATGACAATCATTATTTTTGCATAGCTATCTCTTGTAGTATACTATAAACTCCTTAAGGGCCCTAGGACTTCCATATACTTACATATAGCTTCTAACATTATTTTGGACACATAGTAGTAGCAGAGGTTTGATAGGGCCTGAGGAGACAGCTCAGTTGTTGAAGTGCTTGCTGTATAAGCATGAGGACCTGATTTCTATCTCCAACATCTACATAAAAAGAAGGTTGTTGTGATGTGGTGGTATAATATTATAATCTCAGCACTAGGAAGGAAGGAAGGAAGAAGATCCCTGGGACTCACTGGTCAGACAGCCTAGCTGAATTGTCAAGTCCCAGGTCCCTGGGAGAGATACTGTCTCAAAATACAAAGTGAACAGCTCTTGAGAAACAAAACCTGTTAGACCTCTGACTTACACACACACACACACACACACACACACACACACACACACGAAGTTGTTGAATTAAAATATGAATCAATGAACCAAAGGAAGTAGAAGCCACAATAAACCAGGAAAGGTTGTGGAATGGTCTCCAAAGAAGAAGCATTACCAGAAAGAATCATAATCTAGGAAAGTAAAGAAGACTAGAGATAGAAACTGACCTTGGTTTGAGTAATGTGACCCATCGGTGACCCAAAAGGAACAATGTCTGTAGGGCTGGGGTGGGTGAAAGTAGTCACTTGTTGTGGATTGCCTGTAGAAAGGAAAGGTTAAGAAGTGACCATATAAGTGTGAACTGCCAACTCAGGGAGTCCAGAGGAAATAGGAAAAGTTAAAAACACAAGAATAAAGAGATGGAAGATGTGTGAGGAAGTATTAGGTAGAACAAAGTACTGGAGGAACTTGGGGGATGTATTCTGGATTACAAGTGGAAGAATCAATTTAGGAAAATCTGGAGGGCAGAAAGGTTGGGGGACATCCAGCAGAAACAGGGTGAGGAGCACAGCTATGGGATGCAATTCTTGGCTCACCTGAAAGCAGGCTCATTGAACGGCACATTGTATTTGTTACCTGTTCGTTGATGCTATAGGAACATGTGATTTTTAAAACAACAAAAATGGTTTGGAGTTTTGCAGATCAAAAGTCCAAAAATGGGTCAGTAGGGCTGATTCTCTCTGCATGTTCTAAGGGCAAATCTATCCCCTTGCCTTGTCTAGCTTCCAGAGCCTCCGGCCACTCCAGGCTCATGGCTCATGGCTTACTCTTGCCTCTGCTTTTCTCTTCATATTTCCTCTGACTCTGGCTCTTCTCCCTCCGTCTTCTACTGACCCTTGTGATTCCACTGGGATCACCCAGATAATCCAAGGTAATCGCCCCATCTCAAGGTCTCTAGGTTGAGCACATCTGCACAGTTCCTTTTGCCATATTAATGTAACATACTCATAAGCTCCAGAAATTGGACATAGACCTCTTTAAGGCAGCCATTATCGTGACTAACACAGATGGAGTCTGGTGATTGAGAAAATAAGAGTGACTAAAAGACCAGACTTGGTGCCACAGAGCAGCTGTCATACCCTATTTTATCTGTAGCCTGGGCAGGGGAGGGGGGATCAAATACAATTTTTAGACAGTAGATTCGATGAAAGTTTGAGATGGATCTGGGGAAAATAGCCTAGTATAACTCATTTTGCATGAAGGGAAGCCTTGGCCTGAAGGGAAATGAAACCCAGAGGCAATTATAGGATGAGGGAGGAGACAATGGCCTGGGGTCAACTCCCAATGCAGTGGGGCCAAGAGTGAGCATGGCTCTACGTGTGACCTTCATGGAGGTTCTGGCTGCTGAGAGGCTCAGGAAAGGGCTTATGAGGCCATCTGAAGTCCGTTTTGATCATTTCTTGGCCTCAAAGCTTCTACAAGCTAGTCCTTGGGGCCCACTAATGGATATTGTCTCATGGGCACTGCATGTTCACACACATGCAATATTTACCACCTGGAAGGTTCTTACCTACAACTATTGCCCTTTCTTGGCTATTTCAGTCCTTTAGATAGCAGCTAAAAATGCCAAAAACTTTCTCTGAATCTATTTTCCCAGTTCTCTCTAGACCACCCTGACTGAGAGCTATCTTGTTCGGCACTATGCTCCAAATGGCTAGCTTGGCACCTGACACGTGGTGATTATTTCTCACGTGGTTCAGTTAGTGTTAATGCCTCAAATTCCAGAGAACTTGATCTTTTGAAAAAGACTCTTTCATATCTAGTCCTGCAAATGACTATACTGTGTTAATTTTCCTTCATTTTACTTTGATAAAAACAGATGCTCTGAGAAGTTCACTTGCTTAACCTCACACATGTTAGTGATGAATAAAAGTCCAAGTTTTTGAAGCCAGGCTCTTTCCTGTCTTGGCCTGACCAGTTTTCCCCCAAGAAGGCTACAAGAATGGTTTTCTCAATGTCAGTCATGGGGACAAAGGGCACTGATAGCGGTTGAGCTCATACGTGTACCAGGCACTGGGTGAGGGGTTTAAAGACATTACCTCATTTGCTCTTACACAGCAAGCCTTTTTATTTTATAGATGGAAAAGCCAAAACTTGGAGAGGTCACAAACAGTGGAGTGGTTCTGTGAGATGACTTTTCACAGTCACCTCAGTTGTATCAGCCCCTCCCGTTTTCCTGTCTCTCTCTGACGAGACTATCCTCCCCAAAACCACCACACACAGATAATATGAGTCTAACACTAGTGACAGGTCCAAAGCTTCACTGGTAAAGCCAAACTGCAACCTAACCCTGGTCTGATTCTAGCCATGAAACCATCTGACACTAAAAAACTGAGTCTGTAGAACTGTGCTTTGTGAAGCTGATGGAGTTCCAGAGAATGCAGGAGGATGTGTGGGAAAGAGGACAGAGGGATGGTGAGCTAGACACCAGACAGAGGAGAAGTAAATGGAATAAGAAGCAGATCCTTGGAGATGATGCGAGAGCTAAGCGTGGAAACCACAGTGAGAGGCCCGAGCCCAGGAGGCACTTAGAGTGGTTGAGGGGCCCCTACTCTACCATGCATCTGGACAGATGAAGTTGTAAGGGGGAACTGCCCAACCAGCCAGCTCTTGGTCCTTCCCTTCATGTGAGACTAACCCCACTACTCACCTCTTCAGCTCTTCCTGTGCCCCCCGAACCCATACTGCCTGTGCCCAATGTACCCCCTCTCATCTCTTGGTCTCCTAATTAGACAATGGGCAGGGGCATGATCCTAAAGAGAGGCTTTATAGAGAAGAAAGAATCACAAGTAGGGCATCAGCAATCTGAAATGGAGCCTGCATTTCATTTCATTCTAATCTACTTCATTTCAGATGAAATAAGAAGGTAAGTGAGCCGGGCATGGTGGCGCACGCCTTTAATCCCAGCACTCGGGAGGCAGAGGCAGGCGGACCTCTGTGAGTTCGAGGACAGCCTGGTCTACATAGTGAGT